CTGGGAAGAAGGGAACAAAACTCAGACCTCATGTAACTCCTCATTTAGCAATAGATTCAGTGCAAATTTGGAAAGTTGAAGACATAGAGTGATGTTGGTGTGGTTTTCTGTGGCATGCTAAGGAGACAGCAGAAGATGGTCAGTGGTCAGTCTCCATCCAGCTGGTACCCATTGTCCATTAGTTAGGTCTTCAGAAAATATAAAAGACAACTTTTGTGGCAAAGCCCCAAGGGCTTCATTAAAACACTTTGCCCAGAAATTGGTCAACAGGGACATGACAAGTTTTTATATCACAGCTACTATTTTTTGCCTACTTTATGTAGAAATCTGAGAGATGTAACCAGCCTCAGGGGGCTGATTCTCCATCCAGGGGACAGCACTAACAGAGTTATGAGTTATGTGGTATTAGTCTGTCTGGGTCTTCATAAGAAGACAACACGGAGTGGGCGGCTTAAACAACAAATATTGAATTTCTTACAATTCTGAAGTCTGAATGTTGAAGATCAAGGTGCTGGCAGGGTTGGTTCTTGGTGCGGCTTCTTCCTGGCATGCACTGGGGCACCTTCTAATACACTGCGTCTCCACATGGCCTCTTCTCTGCGTGCACGTGAAAAGTGAGAGGTCTCTGGTGTCTCTTCCTCTTCTTATAAAGACAGCACGTCTATTGCATTAGGTTCTCACACTTCTGACCACATTTAACCTTAATTGTATCATTAAAATTCCAATATAGATCCATTGATTTTAAGGTTTCAGCATATGAATTTCAAAGAGGGCACAATTCGATTGATGACACAAACCAAGAGATGGTGAGAATCATTAGAATATATATATTTTTAATCACTAAGGAATCATGGGCCATGCAGGAAACTCGTAGGAAAGTTCCTAGTAATCGGTGAAACCTCAATTCTAAGAGGAAAATGTGCCTTCCTCCTTTCTTTTCTGGCAGAAGAATGTGAGGAAGCAGAACCACAGATAATAAATAAGGAGGAGCCCTGGGGACAGCTGAGGTGCTGGTGAGGAGGGAGAGCACTGAGCAGATGAGGAAGCCCCGCCCTCCCTGCACCTGCTCCTGACCCGGCCTCCTGCTCTGTGGGCCCCGCGCGCCCCCTGCTGGTCCTGAGCGGCACCTGCGCCCGCCCCCTCCGCCTCCCTGCAGGGAGGTTTGTGTCTGGGCTCACACCCACCTCCCCTCACTGTGTCTCTCGCACAGTAATACACGGCGGTGTCCGCGGCGGTCACAGAGCTCAGCTTCAGGGAGAACTGGTTCTTGGACGTGTCTTTTGAAATGGTGACTCGACTCTTGAGGGAGGGGTTGTATTCGGTGCTCCCACCACTACCATAGATACCCCCAATCCATTCCAGCCCCTTCCCTGGGGACTGGCGGATCCAGCTCCACCAGTTACTACTGCTGATGGAGCCACCAGAGACAGCGCAGGTGAGGGACAGGGTCTCCGAAGGCTTCACCACTGCTGGGCCCGACTCCTGCAGCTGCACCTGGGACAGGACCCCTGTGAACAGAGAGACCCACAGTGAGCCCTGGGATCAGAGACAGCCTCCCATGTCTTCATATCTGCATCCCCGAGACACTCACATCTGGGAGCTGCCACCAGGAGGAAGAAGAACCACAGGTGCTTCATGTTCTTGCACAGGAGGTCCGTGACTCTCAGAGAGCATTTCCCATGTGAGCTGGACCCTGAATTTAAGGAACTGTGTGGTGGTTTCCTGTGGGTGCCTAAGTGAAGATTTGCATGTGGGTGGTGCCTTGCTATGGAGAGGTGAAAAGAGATGAGGGAGGCCCCAGTCTTTGGGGCTCACCCTGAGAGGAGGATGCTGGCTGTGCCCTCTGAGAACTCAGTTCTCTTCCTGGGACCTCCCCTCACCAAGCCCAGATTCCTCTTCTTCCAGGTAGGGAGATGTGCTCAAGGAGCTGGTCTGGGAGATGAGTGTGATCATGGATCGAGGACAGATTTTTGGAATAGGTTCAATGCTGTTCTACCCGTGAAGATTTATATGAAAGCAACCAAACATCCAGGTTATCTAAATTGTCAAATCTCCATTCAAAACATTAGCGCAGCAGCTAAATATATCTGTCACAGTGAATTTATACAAACCTACATCCATGCAATGTTTATTGTAATTCGGAATATCCATCATGGTTAGAGGGAATATATGTGTACCAGAGAGTGCATCATAAAAAAAAAAAAAAAAAAAAGGCCGGGCGCGGTGGCTCAAGCCTGTAATCCCAGCACTTTGGGAGGCCGAGACGGGTGGATCACGAGGTCAGGAGATCGAGACCAACCTGGTGAACATGGTGAAACCCCGTCTCTACTAAAAAATACAAAAAACTAGCCGGGCGAGGTGGCGGCGCCTGTAGTCCCAGCTACTCGGGAGGCTGAGGCAGGAGAATGGCGTGAACCCGGGAGGCGGAGCTTGCAGTGAGCTGAGATCCGGCCACTGCAACTTCAGCCCGGGAGACAGAGCGAGACTCCGTATCAAAAAAAAATAATAATAATAATCTGAGGCCTTCCATTTTGTGACCATTTGAAGTTTAGGATTCTGTCTGCAATCTCAGGAGAAGGTAGTGGGATGTATCTCCAACCGTCTCAATGTGTGATGCTGAGAATGTGGCCTGACCTTTATACACTTCTGTGTGAATATATGTAGATTGGGGATCACAGTGACAATTTCGGTCAAAAACTATAATAGGTCAGCACAGGAGCATAGTCTCATCATCAAGATTAGTGCAATTGCCTTTCCTGGGAACAAGAGAGGACATCTGTGAGCTCTCCCCTCTGAGAGCACAAGGAACTCTGGTTCTTCCCTGACAGGTCACACTTCTGAAACATGGCTGGACAATGACACTCAAGCCCAGAGTCATCACCCACATATTTATCATGTCAGGTACACCTGTGTCTGAAAGACTTTCTCCTTCATTGAATTGCATGAACATACCTTAGAGTTTGCGGTATTACATCTTGGGCACATGACATTAGTTTGGTGAATTATATAATAAATAATCTATCTCCATGGATGTGGATAACAGGAGAGTCATCAGAAGTTGGGTGTGTTTTAACATCAGGACAAACCTGGCCTGTCTTGTTAGGACTGAACAAGTGAGCTGACCTGTGGGACAACAGAGGGAAAGACACAGACCCAACATCCAGAGCCAGGTGAACTCCTGACCTACCAGGTGGTCTCTGGACATTTTGTTTAAACAGATCCAGAAAGTCCTTCCTCACCTTCAGGAGAATCATGAACACTGAGGGAAATTGAGATAAATTTTTATTTACAGAGAATAATTCATAGGCTTGTAGACATCTATGTGGGTGTGTACAGGATTGCTAGGATACGCTCATACACAGAACAGAAGAAATAATTCTATTTCATGGAAAGAAAACCAAAGAGCTTCTGAACTTGTAGGTATTCTTTGCCACAAATGTGTCAGGTCACTAGATCATGTTATGATGCTGGAGGTAACACTTCCCAACCTTGTCCTGGAGACAAAATGCAAAAGAGTAAAGATTCAAGTGAGATTCCTTTGAAAAATATCAGTAATGAACAGACCAAAAAATATGAACCCTTATGTAAAGAGTGCTAATGAAATGAAACAATAAATTCCATGTTGAGGTGACAGGGAAGTTCCATCTGACAGCTCATTTTCACCTTTATGGGTACAGAGTGCCCTCTGCAGCCCAGCTCCCACCCTGAAGGGAGGGTTCTGTCTGAGCTCTGTGAGTGAGCTGGAGTCATTGTGAGCCATTCAGAAAAGTAGTTGATTCTACTTCTTCAAATGGGAATTTAAACCATCAACTCCTCACCTTACCCAGTCTATTTTTGTAACTGTGTGTGACCCTTAAAAATGCCCTCACCGGCCGGGCGCGGTGGCTCAAGCCTGTAATCCCAGCACTTTGGGAGGCCGAGGCGGGCGGATCACAAGGTCAGGAGATCGAGACCACAGTGAAACCCCGTCTCTACTAAAAATACAAAAAAAATTAGCCGGGCGCGGTGGCGGGCGCCTGTAGTCCCAGCTACTCAGGAGGCTGAGGCAGGAGAATGGCGTGAACCCAGGAGGCGGAGCTTGCAGTGAGCCGAGATCGCGCCACTGCACTCCAGCCTGGGCGACAGAGTGAGACTCCGTCTCAAAAAAAAAAAAAAAAAAAAAAAAATGCCCTCACCATTTCTTTCATAACGGGAGTTGACTGTGCCATGAAGGTAACAGGAAGATGGGTAAATTTACAGTGTGGGTACATAAACTGCTGAATTATCAAAGCCTGAAGCCAATCACATTGTGTCATCTTGCTTAATTAGTTGTGAATTTGTTTTCAGTTTTTTAGTTCAAGTTCCCATAACTCACTTTCTGATAAAATAGTCACATATAATAATATTGAGATATTAAAATGAAAAAAAATCACTAATTTCAAAATGAACCCAACTTCCAGGAGACATGAAAATTCCTTTGTGGTGAAGGGTGTGAAGGGTGGAGACATGGTTGAATACTGAGGTTGTGTTCACAATTGTACTATTTTAATTAGGGAACTTCTATTTATCCCTTATATTTATTAGAAACTCCCATTGAGAACCTTGATGTAATGTAATTAATTGATGGGTCACACAAAAACAATGAAGCTGAAGGTTATTGAGCAGGAATTGCTGTTACAACTAGCTTTCCTTTAGAACACATTCCTCTACCTGATGAAATTAGTCCAGGTGCACTGAGGAGCGTTTTACAGTTAACCAAAGACCAGGAAATGGGCACTCGTGTGTGGAGCAGGGCATGGCTTTGGGATGCTTTGCAAACAAAGTGGCTTCTCACATCTTCTGGAAAACCCATCAAAATGGGCAGGGTAGGGATCATTTAGGAACACCCGTCTATCCCACATTCATGGCTAATATAACAGTGGAAGTTGATGCAAAATGAGATCATACGGAAGATAAAGAAACTGCTGCACCACTGCCTCAGCTCAGCACAGCTACCTCTTCCCTCAGGGCTTCTGACTCTCTCAGGATGTGGGTGTCCACACTATGGCTCTCATACAGTAATGCACGGCCGTGTCCTCAGCCTTTAGGCTGCTGATCTGCAGGTACACTGTGCTGACAGAGGTGTCCATGGAGAAGACAAACCGTCCTGTTTAGCCCTGGGCATACATTGGGTTCCCAGTGTTGATGTTCATCCATCCCATCCACTCAAGCCCTTCTCCAGGGACCTGTCTCACCCAATTCATACCATAGGTGGTAAAGCTGTAACCAGAAGCCTTGCAGAAGACCTTCACTGAGGCCACAGGCTGCTTCACCTCAGGCCCAAACTGCACCAGCTGCACCTGGGAGTGGGCACCGGTGGAGAGGACACAGGATTGCGGGAAGTCTCACTTGACTGTCCTGGTTTCTCTGTCAGCCCTGGAACTGGGGAGCCCCTTAACTTTTGCTGCTGACGCCAAGAAGAGGATCCTGTGGGTCCTGTCCATCGTAGGGTGTGGTCACGAGGAGGGGTGTGGTTGTTGGGTGATGCTCTCAGGGCACAGAGTTATCTGTATTAACCTCAGTGATTGGCATATTCTTGAAGGATGCTATTTAATAGCCCAATTTCTGACCCAGTATGAGAAAGAGCAAATACATGACACATGGACGACACAGTTGTAGAAGCTGAGGGTTCAAACTGTAATCCTGTTAGAGGCCACGTGTCCCCTAAACGTCCCTGAACTCTGTGTTGACAGAGCTTCCCCCACTGGAGAACAAGCTCCCCCATGACACGCACCTCACTTTGAATCCACATTTGAATGAATCAGGGGCAACTTGAACCATTTCTAGACCTTAATATGTGAAGGCGTTATTTTGGGAATGAGTGTGTCCAAAAACTGCACTGATTTAAAAGAAAGGAGCTCTTCCTGACATCCAGCTGCTTACTATTAAGATAACTGGAAGAGTTTGAAATCCCCATTGTGAAAGTGGTTCTCATTACAACATCCAGTTTGATAAATGCTCACAATCGAATGGAATATTTATACAAACATCAGAAGTCCTTGTGAAATACATATATTAGACATTTTTAAAGGAAGTCTGGGGCCCTGAGAGGAACCCCTCCCCAGTCTGCTGTGTACCTGCTCTGGGGCGGGAGCCTGTGCTGGGTTTATCCTGAGAGCCCCCTGCTACCCATCCCCTACCCAGCAGGAGCGTTTCTGTCTGAGCTTACAGAGTATATTCCTACCAGTGTCTCTAGCCCGGTATAAAGTGGCTGTGCCCTGGCTCAGAATTCTCCTTTAGTGACAAAACATGCTTCTCACACCATCATTTGAAATACTGAATTGGCCTTAGGAAACCCAGAGAACTGTACAGGAAGACCCGAAGAAAAGATCTCATGCATCACTGGGGAGCCCTTTCCTGGAGCTCCAGAGGCACTGAATCGTTTGACGTATGGTGAACCCAAAAACTCTTCAGGGATTTGGAAGGGGACTCTTATTTTCTTTAGGGTCCTGCAGTTGTTTATTGCACCTGAGAATACCTGCAGGTGCAGGTGCACGTGGACAGAAGCCCAATTCAACTCTAGTATTCAAATAACACACACACACACACACACACACACAGGCTAATTTTAACATTAATTGGCCCACTTTTTTCCTTTCTTTTCTGGTATCCATGTCAAGGAAAGCACTCCCTACACTGGCACTAAGGGTGAGTATGTGTCTACTTTCTGCAAACAGAAGTAAAGAAAACAGAATACAAGTGGACACCTGGGAAGTGCATGCACATTGAATTCAGCTGGTCTCACTTTGGAACCCTGCACACGTGCCATGAAAAGTAAATGTGAGGCTAATGAGGGTGAAATCATTCCCTTGGTGCTGAAATTGCTGTTGTCAGAGCCTTCAAATTGCTCTATTTTCCTGAACATTTTTTAGCCTATTTTCCTCCTCAGATAGAGTTTGTGCATTGCCACACTCTCATATTTAATCCATATTGACTAAACTGGTGAGACGTAATGTGTGGAACCCGGAAGCATTACATGTTCTTACAGATGCATCTTAATACTCTGGTGATCTTCTTTCTCTGGACTGTGCCCGATACAGCAAGTCTCCAGGTGTGAAGCTGATTTTTGCTCTTTTCTCGATGGAACATCACAGGAAAATTTTTGTAAATGTGCCCCTTTTGGCTAATTGTAGCCATTTTCATGATAAAGGAAGCCTGTAGGTATGGGTTTGTAATGGGGATGGATTATCTTTCCCCACATACATAAGGATGTAAAAATGGGTTGTCTGCCTGAAGAAGGTCTCGGTGTTTTATCAGAGATTTGGTCTCCTGGTAATACAGCCATGCGGGCATCTAGGTGGATTCTCGCCCTGAGAACCTGGAGGTTCCTGGAGGAAAGGGCGATAAGAGTATGGCGGGGTGGGGCCCCCAGGATCTCTCAGCCTCATGCTAGTCCAGACATGCTCTTTATATTTATTTAGTTCAGATTTTCATATAACAAATCACACAGCCAGGCTCATTTAAATTACCCATATTCAGGCCATATGGAACCAGCAGCTGAGTATAGTAATTACATTGAACTCAGGCAAATCTGGCCCTAATCCAAAGTTTACCGTAGCTCAGAACACCTATAATGACTCACTTAACTTGGAGAGTATTTCTTCCTTGAAAGAACTGTAAGGGTTGCTGTGGAGCCTCTGTGGGGTTGGATTTTTTTGAATCAGCCTGTCATGCAGGGTATTCTGAGTGATGTAGACCTTTACACTTAGATGGCAGTTATTCCTAGTGACATGGAAATGGCTGGCAGCCCTCAATTCAGTTAATTCCTTTGGTTCACCTGAGTGTCTACAAGTACCTGATGAACCTCAGAACTCTTCTTCATGGATGACTATGAAGATTGTCAATCAACTCAGTGCTACAGACAGGCAGCTAATGGAGGATTCTCAGTCCACTGCCACTGTGAGCATTTAGGTAAATTCCATGCGTGTGCTATTGTGAATAGTGCTGCAGTGAACCTACATGTTTATATTCCTTTAGGTGTCTGTCCGGCTGTGGGATTGTTGGGTCAAATGAAACTTCGGTTTTAGGTTATTAGAGGGATCACCACACTGCTTTCCACCATGGTTGAACTAATTTATATTCCCACCAAAAGTGTATAAATGTTCCGTTTTTCTTGCAACCTTAGCAGCATCTGTTACTACTTTTTTTTAAGATTAGCCATTTTGACTGATGTGAGATGGTACCTCACTGTAGTTTTAATATGTATTTCTCCAATGATAGTGATATTCAGCATGTTTTCCTATGCTATTTGGCCACATGTAGGTCTTTTTGTAAGTGTCTTTTCATGTCCTTTGACCACTTTTTCTTTCTTGTATGTTTGTTTAATTCCATGTATATTATAAATGTTAGACCTTTGTCAGATGTATAGGTGGCAAATACTTTACTTCCCATTCTAGAGGTTGCCTGTTTACTCTGTTGATAGTATATCTTGCTATGCAGAAGCTCTTTAGTTTACTTGGTCCCGTTTGTCAATTTTTGATTTTGTTAAAATTGCTTCTATCATTTTCAGAATAAAGTCTTTGCCAGTTCTTATGCACTAAATTGTATTGCCTAGGGTATTATGCAGAATTTCTATAGTCTTAGGTTTTGCATTTAGATCTTTAATTCACATATTATTATTTTTTCAATTGATGCTGAAAAAGCATTTGATGAAACTCCACATCCTCTCAGGAAAAAAAAAAAAATTGAAAATGGGTATAGAAAGAACACGTCTCGACATAATAAAAAGTTGTGTTCCAGAGACTTTCAGGTAGTATTATAATGAATGAGAAATAACTAAAAGTCTTTTCTCTAAGATCTGGAACGTGACAAATTTCCCACTTTAACCACTGGTAAAGCGTAAATCCTTCTGCTGCCCCCATAGCCGGCTCTTACCTGCACGCGCCACCTACTGGCCTGGTGTTCAAACTGCATGACCTAATACAAAGCCGCTACCACCAGTGTACAGCAGGTGAAAATGAGATTAGCTTCTCAATACTTCTGTGATTCCAGCTCCGCAAAAGACCACGGGCCTGCTCACATGCTCAGTGTGTTACTACTAAAGCTGGAATTTGGAAAAGGCACAACACTAAAACTATTAATAGCAAAATAAATCACACTGAGTAGATGCCCCTCACCTGGCCATTTCCATCAAGGCTGGTGTTTTGCTTGCTGGGCTGAATGGCTCATGTTTGTCCCCCTCTCAGGAGCTCAGCAGAGAACTCAGGTCACTGTGCATTTCACAGACTAGCCCAATGCCTGAGGCAACGGAGAGCTTCTCCCTGTGCACAGATATCAAGCATGTACTCATCTGCTTCTCCCGCAGTCAGCTCAAACCTGTAAGGCCACCTACTAACGTGAAGGGTAAACTTAACAACCCAATATAAAATCTGCTGAAACAAATGCATCCCAAATGAGAAACAGTTCCTGAGGCCTCCACTATCTAGGATCTGCAGGAGGCAGTGAGCCTGCTCACAGGCCCAGTACATTTTTTTACAACCATCATTTCAGAAAGCCACTAAATAATGACCATCTATAGACAGGAAATAATTACAGAGTCTTTGCCACTGAGTAAACCAGGAACCAAATAAAAAGACCCACCCAATATGCATGATATTCACATTCCAAAGGGAATGAAATTTTCATTAAAATCAAAATAAGTTCAAAAATAGTAAGAGATAGTTTAGCCAATGAAAAGCAAGCAGATAAGCAATTCTGGAAGTATGAAAAAGCAGAATTATAAGACCCCAGATATCACCTGAGCTTTCCAGCAATAGAATCTAAACAACATGATATATTTGAAATCTCAGATAAGTAATTCAAAATGTTTATTTTAAAGAAGTTCAATTAAATCCAAAAGAGAGTTGAGAACCAACACAAATAAATCAGAACCACTCAAGACAGGCATTGTGGCTCATGCCTGCAATCCTAGCACTTTGGGAGGCCGAGGAGGGGGGATCATGAGGTCAGAAGTTCTAGACCAGTCTGGCCGACATAGTGAAAAGCCATCTCTACTAAAATACAAACCATTGGCTTGGTGTGGTGGTGTGTGCCTGTAATCCCTGCTACTCAGGAGGCTGAAGCAGAATTGCATGAACCCGGGAGGCGGAGGTTGTAGTGAGCCAAGATGACACTATTGCACTCCAGTCCAGGCGACACTGCAAGACTCTGTGTCAAAAAACAAAAAACAAAAAATCAGAACAATTCAAGATTTACTTAACACTTTGATTTTTAAAAAATAATCTTCAGGGAATAAAAACTTCATTGAATTATAATTAGAAAACACAGTTTAAAACTTTAACAATGGACTATACTAAACTGAAGAAAGAATATCAAACCTAACAGACAGATATTTCAAATTAACCCAGTCAGATAAAAATGAACAAAGTCACTGGGAAGTATAGGATTATGTAAAACAATTGAAACAGTGGATCGTGGATATTCCTGAGGGAGAAAATTAGTAAAA